AATCCAAGTGTAAAGAGTGATAATCATAGGAATAGTATTTAAGGCTTGCTGAAGACATACTCTTTACAGTGCTGTGCAACATGCTATGTGTTTATTCCAATTGGATCCATTAAGGGTAGTGATTAACACTTCCACTTTACAGATGAATAAACTGAAGCAAAACACATCTTAGCAAGTAGTAGATAAGGCAAAATGTGAGGACAAGCATTTTGGCTCTGGAGGCAATGCTTTTAAGCCACTGTGCTAAATTGTCACTCAGGAAATAATTGATTTGATGCCCTTGATGGTATACACTCCCAACCATCCCCAGTGGAGAGCAACTCTTAGCTGAGCCCTCTTTGTTCTGGTTGGGCTCTACCAATTTTGAAATGCAAGGGTAAGTTAAAGACTAGGGAAAAGGTACCACCTGGGGAGGGTGAGTGTAATTATGTATGCATGTTGGGGCTTGAGGACAGTGCTAGGGAGGCAGAGACCTTGGCCCAAACTCTTTAAAAATGTTCTGTAACTTTGGTATCTTTTCATGTGATGGTAATAGGTTTTTCTCTCCTTATATGAACAGGCAAGACCTGAGATTCAAGAAGGGCAGTCAGGGTCATTAGTTGAGGGCTCTCTGATATATGATGTTTGCCTTTCCACAAGGTGGATTAAACTATTTATTAGCCAGGAGTGCTATAGCAAAGTACCATACACCTAGTGTCTTGAGAAACAGGAATTTAATTTCTCATTCTTGTGGAGGTTAGAAGTCAAGATCAGCATTTTAGCGTGTTTGATTCCTTCTGAGGTTCATGAAGGTAGGATCTGTTCCAGGTCATTTCCTTTGACATTTAGGTTTCTGACTTCTCCCTGTGTCTTTACATAGCTATTCCACTACCTGTCTGTGTCTGAATTTCCTCTTTTTATAATACTGGTAATATTGGATTGGAGACCCCCAAAATCATTTTAATTAATTACTTTTAAAAGACCATACCTTATAATATGGTCACATTTTGGGGGTAAGGGGGATTAATGGACTTCAACATACAAATGTTGGTGGAGAGGCACAGTTCAGCCCATATCAGTGATGTAACAGCCATAACTTTTGCATAGAATCTCCACTACTCTCAAATAAGAAATGTACTGTGCCTAAATCAAAAGTGACAAATTAGCATGGGGTTAATTATGAAGAGTTTTAGGAGAGTTAGGGATTACTTTTAGGGTTGAGAAAATCCAACATGAAAGGCAATATTCAGTATTGGGCCTTAGTTTCAATTAAGTATCCTTCAAAAAGTTGCCCTGAAGCCCCTGAAAGTAGTTTTCTTCATCCTCTTAACTGAAGATGTTGGGTTGCCTTATTCAGAGGTTTGTGATGATCCTCATTCTCATATACATGATTCTTCCAGGCCTCTATGGACCGCAGAAACATTGGTTAGCTTGCTCAGTGGCATAGGGGTGACCTTTGTTCTCACAACATAATGTCCAGAATTTTTGCATTGGAGGTAAAAGTGCCTGAAGACAACTGATTCATAGTTCCCTGCCTGTGCCAGAGATCTCTCTGTGGCACTGTGAAAACATTTGTCCTGCCTGGCTCTTAGTAATCACAGATTATTAAGTTTCTGGAATGGCTCATATATCAAGCTCCCTCTCAGACAGAGAAAACCAGTGCTTGGAGAACATTGCTGGACTTTAATGGAACCACAAAGCAACAGTCCTCAGTGAGCCTTTTTATTCCCCAACTTTGCCCCAACAATCTTTCTTCACCTATTCAGCATCTCTGGCCTTTTTCTTCTCAGCAATTCCCAATACTTCCAAAATCCTAGCTGCTTCTCTCCTCCATGAGGCCTTGGAGGCTTACCTAACATTTGTGATTAACACTCCCCATCCTAGCTCTTCAAAATGTCTTCAATGATAGGAAAACTACTGCTTTGGTAAACAACTCATTTTATTGTTGAAAGACTTCTACTTTTTATAACAGTCTTCCTCTTTGGGAGTACAGTCTCAGCTGTATCTAACTTCATGTATCTCTCCTAGTTTGCTCTCAACCAGTCCCGATTAACCAGTTGAGTTCATCTTCCGTTTTTCCATTTAACTGCAGTGGTTCCCCTGAAGTCCTCTCACATGGTGTCCTGAATCCTCTATGCTTTGGGTTAGGTGATGTCAATACCATACCAACATCTCTGGCCATGGCTTTGAGCACCATATTGGAGCCTTACTTCTCTGAGTGGGTTCTAATAGCTTCCAGTGCACCAAAATTAAAATACATGGAGGTTCCTGCTCATCTTTCAAGGCTCAGATCAAATGCTACCTTCTTTGAGGAGGCTTCTGTTGCTACTGAAATCCAAGGCAAGCAACAGCTCCTTCCATCCTATACCCTCACACTGCTCTGTGCATTATAACGCCTACCACACTCCATCACAACCTCCATGTTACATTGTCTTTGTGAACTTCTATGACTAGAGACTTTGTCTTAGTTATTACTATTTCCTCCATTTCTGGTTCAGGATAGGGGTTTCACATTTATTGATTGCTTTGCTGATTAAAGAAACCAGCGTTAGAATTTCAGTTACCATGAAAGTTCTGAGAAGGAAATATCCTTGTTCAAGGAGATTTTGATATTCCTCAGATCAGATCCTTGGGGGAATATCCTGGATGATATATACTGAAATTATCCAGGTCAGGCTGAGAGAGGGAGGACAGAGCGTAGTGTGGAGTACCTCTGAGATTTCCTGGTGGTTTCTGGCTATTCCAACATAAATCAGGATTGTAGCGCTAGCATCAAATTGTACCTGGTTTCCCCAGACCCTCACCCCAGTTAATGAAACTTGACATTCACTGTCTTTTTTTCTTCTCAATAAGGGGCAAAATAGACACAAGGCTTTCTTCTTTACTTTCTAAGATGAAAGGTACAGGCCACAGTTACCAAAGAATGCTTCCTTCCTAGAAGGAATCAAAAATACCAATCCAAAACACATCTCCTCTCTCAGCGTTTCTAAAAGGAGTTTTTGCCAGATTCCTGCATTATCTGTTTGCTTGTTGATCTTGTGTGAACGTACTCCTGTGTATCTTTTAAGCCCTGAATGCACTGGGGGTAGCTCTCAGACCTTTCTGATGTAATTCTTTTTCTCCAAACAATAAACCAGGGAAGAAGTTTGAACATTGCTCTTTGTCTTCAGGGAAGTTTATTAAGATACTTTTGCAACCAAACTACACTCTTGAAAGACTAGAAAGAGTTCATTTTCTCAAACCTTTGGGGTGGCCTCTGTCTGAGGTAGTATCTGTACAGACACTGCTATCCATGAAACTATTAAAAATTCTTCAAGGACAAAAAGGGAAAAACCTGAGAATTTGCTGTCACCCTGTAATGTCTTTTTATTTTATTATTTTTGACTCAGTTCAGTAATTATAAGGTGGTCTCGTAGTTTATAATACCCCAAATTTTCCAGCCAATGAAATACTACTGTGAGTTGGATTGTTCTACTGTGAGATTAGATATGGCAACTTGTATAGTAATCTAGGATGGTTCCTTCAAGATACCACTGTAGGAATGCTTCATGTGGTACTTATTATTTAGTGGGTCTGAAGAAGAAATTCTAAGAAATAAATAAATGCAGGGAGAATGTTTTCCCATCTTATGTGGGATAGGGAACATATTGGGAAGGTTATCATAGAGATATGAAATCCAAATTTTATATTTTTTAACCAGATAAGAAATATTAGTTTCCCATTCTTTGCATTCCAAACATCTAAAGGAAAAGTGTCAGACAAAATTCAAAAAGGAAAATACTGAAAACTAAATAAAGGCTATTCTTTGATACTTGAAAGAGGTCATTTTAATGATTAAAATTATAATACTTCTTTGAGATTTGCAGCATTGCTAATGTCTGTCTTGGGTTGTCAGTATTATTCAGGGATGATAACTTCATTACAAACATAATTAGATATGCCTGGGAAAGAGACTTAATTACGTGTGGTCAGTGTTGCAGAATCCATCAGTGACTTTCCTCTTAAAGAGGAAAAGAGACAGAATCATGGGCGATGAATGTGACCATGATGCTGCAGGACCATGTTAAACTTGCCTAATTTTATTGTAATACTTAAGGTTTTTAAGGAGGCTCTGCCAGCCCACTGGAGGGGAGCCACTATAGAATCTTCTTCCTTTTCTACCTATAAACAAGCCAACGGAGGATGCATGTAGCCCTGGGAATTCAAGACTAGTTTATTAAGATGCATCTTGAGTCACTCATCCAAGGGATGCTGAATTGGGAAGTGGAGGTTGTGGGGGTGTCACTGGATGGTTAGTGCAAATACAGTTGTCAAAGCGAGGAGCGAGGGTGTAGTTTAGTATTGAAATCATGTATTCCAGATGTGGGCATTTGGTAGTCAATCTGCTCTGAAGTGACACGCTGCTGAATCTTTAAAGGGCTTCAGCTGGGGAGAGCAAAATCTGATTGGGCAAATTGCTAAAATATTTAAAGTGCAGCCTGTTAAAGCTTTTACTGTGAAGAGCATCACGTCAGAAGTTGTAGTCAGAAAGAGCAAGTAATTGGCTTTCCATCCTCATGCCAGTCAGTCAGCATGAGGCTCTGTTCCTGTTCCTTCCTCTTCATCGCCGATGCTAATAGCAACCCTTTGGGGTCTGTGTGTGTGTGTGTGTGTGTGTGTGTGTGTGTGTGCGCGCGCGCGCGTGCGCGCGTGTTGGGGAAATTGGATAGCTGGTAAAGTGGAACGGGTGGACTGTAAAAAGGGAAGCAGAATGCATAAAATGGAATGAAGCCCAAGTGGTCAAAGATGGGCAGGGAAAAGGCAGGATCATTTCCTGAGAAATCCAACCAGCATCTTCTGATGAATGCTGATGGGTGGCGTCAGTTATCTTTCAAGGGGTGGGTCTATAAGCAAGAGCATAGCCACCAGTTTAGTGGCTTCCTCTACTTCTCTAATGTCCTCTGAGATGTAACTCAGGGGGTACTGTCTCTTTATAATGACTTTGTTCTCTGCTCAAGTTTCCCTGTCCTTTGTCTCCCCAGGCACGACCCCTTGCTGATTCCTGGGAATGATCAGATTGACAACATGGACTCCAATGTCAAGAAGTATGACTCCACTGGGATGTTTCACTGGTGCGCTCCCAAGGAGATCGAGAAAGTCATCCTGGTGAGAGAGGGATTCTGGATATGCCCTATGTACATTTCCTCCTAGCCCTACATTTCCTTAGGAATGTTTTCCTAACTGGATGGTGGGATGGTACAGTTCCTGGTCTTAATCATTTCTGATGAGTGAAATGCTTAACAGAGACTCAGACAGAAAGAGCTGTAATCAGAACGCGAGCAGAGAGCAGAATTTTCAATCTCTGAATATTTATGGGCTCATTAGTCTAGTGGTGATCTTGTGCTGTGGGCGTGAGGCATCATGGGAGGCAGGATGTGGCTCATTTCTGTCCACCTACCTCTAGGAGCAGAGCTGGCCTGGGCCATTTAGGAGCTGCATGGCCATGCAAAGATCTTTTCACTCTCTCTATTTCGGTTCTTTCATCCGTCACAAAACGGTCTTTGTTTTTGCAACATACAGTGAATGGTTGTAGTGAAGATTAAATATAGGACACTTTTAAGTGACCTGTTGTTTTACTTATTATTATTATACTTAAATGACATAAAGAAATATGAACACTGTCTTTTTCTTATTTACAGCTCTGTTTTGTATCCCTATAAATAATAGCCTTGTATCTGTGATCCTTCCTAGTACATACTGTAGACAGGCACATGCATTTGCTGATGATGACAATGCAGAACCATGGTCCCCTGGGCAGGCTGGGACTCAGAACTGTATTTCATGGATGACTCTCCAGTACCTCAGTGGCAGCAGCGGGCTTCTGCTGTTCTGTCCCAGAATATCAGCGCAGATAACAATCCATTCTATTCTCTGCATTGGTCCTGTTAACAGCTTTAGCTTTTAACGCCTACATAGACTTTTCCTAGAGTTTATTGTCATGATAATCCACGAAAAATGGATTAATAATCAGGAAGTTCCAATGGAAACATTCTTTTTCCCTTATGCCTCTAATCCTCAGATTTCTGTGCACCAGCTCCTTTATCAGCCAGGGAAGGCCTATTATTTTTGAAGCCAGGGCTGCTCTTACTTAACAAGGACTGTTCCTGGTCCTCAGAACTGCTTTGCACTTTAATCCACTGGATTTTTCCCTGTGTTTTATCTAGTAGGTGTTTTATCAGCTTAGTTATAATTGAGCATTGTAAGCCAATACAGCATCACATTGGAGCCTCTTAGAGGTGTAACACTTGTGGACAACAGCAGAGGAAGTTAAAATTTCAGCAGACAGCCACTGTGTAACTTATCAGGAGAGAAAATGCAGAAAATAGCCACAAAGCTATTTACTTTCTATTACATCCACCACACTTTTCCTTACTAGTCTCAGTTCAGCCTGGTGTTTCCTGCAGGTGGCAGGTCATTTACTAATTGTTTGATCTGAAATACAGGGTTTTAATAACTTGCCTAGATTTTCCTGAGCAGTGTATGCTGCTATCTGATCACCATCCCCTACTAGAAGGGAAGAGTTTAAGGAGATGAGCTCATCTGAAAAATAACATCATTTAGCAAAATGCTGATGGCAGTGTGTCTTTGTTACTTTTGCCATTGCTGAGACAAAATGCCTGGCACTCAAAGTTGAGGTAGGAAGGGTTTATTTTAACTCACAGTTGGTAGAGGTTTCTGTGCATGGCTGCCTGCTCCAAGACAGGGCAGCTTAGCAGGAGAGCATCACAGAGAAGAATCAATAGTTTATGGCAGGGAAGACAGGAGGCAGCCTCAGCAGCAGCGACCAAAGCAGCAACAGTTTGCTTCACTCGCTTTTATCGTTTCTAGCTTACCCACCTCTTGGGTGGTGCCACCCACACCCAGGTTGGGTCTTCCCATTATCCATGCCAGAACTATGCCAGAGCAGTCAATGGGCTAATTTAGTAATCACACATCCTTAATCCAAGCATCACACTCTTAATCCCAGTCACAGGGAGGAAGCACCCACCACTCTTGTTCTGGGGGTATAGTGCATAAAGTTTACACCCCAGTGGAGCAGACAGAAGACCTTCAGTTAGGCAAATAAGTGCATAGTAATATTTCAGATACTAATAAGCTCTTTGAAGTCGATAAAGCAGTATTGTGGACTAGAAATGGCCTGGGAGGCACCATTTAGATAACTTGACATAAGGAACACTAACAATGGAATGACTGTGAATGATAGGAAGGGCTAGCTATGTGGCAATGCATGGAAGCTGTGTCTACCCACTGCGTGTTTAATACTAACAGCTTTAAGGATTAGGATGTATAAGAGATGGTCCCAGGTTCTTAGGAAATGATCCTCTAATTACAAGGAAGATGTAAAATGTAACTGTGGAACAGTCAACTTAAAGCTATGTAATATGAGACATAAAATGGTGCTCAAATATAGGGAGAAGCACCAGCATGTGTATAAGAAGCCAGTGACATCCACAACATGCAAACAAGTTGTTCTTGGAAGGGGTGTAAACCACAAAGGCTGCACATGGTTTGGCAGCACCTGTACTAAAAAGACCATGAAGGCTGAGTTGGGTTAGGCCTTAAAGGATCCACAGGAAGCACAAGACACAGAGAAGCACATGAGTAGTTTCTCTGGTAGGTCTTAAAACTTCCAGAATCAGACTTTCTAGAGTCAAGATGCAGAGATATGTACTTTTATCAAGTTTATCAAGTTATCAACATCAGATGATATTGCTATGGTGCATTGGAGAACTGGAATTTTAATCCTAGATCTAAGCAGCATCTATTGCTGGGCTACTCTCTTAAAGGGTACCTATCTCCCTTATACATGATTGGACCCAGTTTGTATCTGTCTGGCTTACTGAGGGGAACTAGCCTCTCAGGTGGCCTGTCCAATTAAAAATAATTTGGAGCTCCATCACAGCATGTCACAGACCAGATGACTCTGTGCTAGTAGTATCCAAGCACTTAGACTTACACACAGCCTGGAAAACTAAATCTAAGTCTTCTCCATGAAACAAGGATAGGTGATGTGAGCTCCCTGGAGGGTCCTCCTTGGTCTCAGTAAGACGTTTCTTATAGCCTGTGTCTCAGGTTTCCCGGTACTGCTGCAGAAGGAAACCAATAATAGTGACAGCCCCTGCTTTAGTCTAACGATCAGGGAACCAGAGCTAGCTTCCTCCTCTCCTTGGGGGTTACTATAATAACCCTGACATTGTCATGAATTGCAGTATTGGCATTTAAACAATCAATACACTGGTCAATGCTAGGGATTAAATCAAGCAGAGTTTGATATATGTCGTGGACATTAATATGTCTCCTCCAAAGCATTGTAAGCCCCATGGGACCATCCACGCATGTGGTGGGTGAACAGACAGGAAGGCGCCAAGATGGGAGGCACTGAACTAGAAGCAAGCGACAAAGAACGACTCATGATTAGCTTCCTTGTATTGTCTTCTTTGATAGCACAAAGGCCAGCAGTGGCTAACCATGGGAAATTAGAGTCCTCCTCTGCATAAGGGTGTTTCATTTGTCTTTTTTGTAAATCTGTACCTGAGATTGGGGGAAGGCATTGGCCTGGTGCTCTTACTGATGTGTCTCTAGACCCTTTTAATGATTACTTTGGGATTTTTTTTTCTTATATAAGGCAAGTCCCTCTAGAAATGTCCCTGAAGACCCCAAGCAGCCCTGGGCAGAGTTCAATATCCTGGTTCTAGAAAAGGTTATATCATGAATGACTTTAGTCTCATGGGTCCGTATGAACTCTGTTGCAGTGGATCAACTCTTCCATTATAACATGAAAGTAACCATGGATGAACTTGACTGTATTCCAATAAAATTTTCTTGGAATTTGAATTTCATTTAATCTTCATATTTGATGCCATTGCCTTGCTTTGTTTTTTAAACCATTGTGAAGTGGAAAAACTATTTTTAGCTCACTGGACTTATCAAAGACTGGAGCATCAGATTGAGTCTGAAGGTCACAGTTGCCAGCCCCTGGCTTTGGATAGCGTGTTTCGCCTACTGGTTCAGTGATGTACTGTGATACCTTATTGATAAATCCAGAACTCAAAACTCAAATGTCTTGAGCTGAGATTCACAAAGGGGCCTTTGTGACCCATTTTATCACATTCAACAAGAGAACCAAAAAAAGCATAGTATTTTATCAAAAACATCACTGAAACTAAGACTTCCCTTTCTAGATAACATAAATATTCCTTTTTCCTCCCTGAAAGTCATTATGAAATAGCTGTTGCTCACATATACGTATGGGATATCCTACTTCTGTCTTTTCCTCAAGAAGGTAGTGATGTGTGTACATGTATGTTTACATTCTGTTATTTATCTGTTTATTACATGAATACAGTGTGAACATACATGCTCAGATATCTACGTGACAACATGTACAGTATATGACATGGATAAAATGTATTAGTCAGTGTTGCATTATTACTATGAAATACATGAGACTGCTAACTTCTAAAGAGAAAAGTATTATTTAGCCCACAGTTTGTGAGATTTAAAGTCCAAGGCTGAGCTGCCCTGTTTGGTGGCAGGAGGGTACGAGGGCAAATGATGACATTTAAAGCAGCAAAGACAGAAAATGAGGATGAGTGGGGCTAGGTTTGCTCTGCTTATATTGAATCTCTTGGGAAACTTCAAGAGTCATGAGAGAACTACCAGGGGTCTCACTGGGCCACCCTGGACACTGGGCCTTTATTCAGAATCATTATAACATAGTAACATTTAGCAAGTGTTCTGCTGACCGATTGCACTAATGATTTCTTTTCTCTCTCCTTACAAAGTTATGAGGTCCTCTCTCTAACCCTCTTGCATATTTCCCTGTTGCAGACCCGAAGTGAGGCTGCCATGACCGTGCTGAGCGGTCACGTTGTGGTCTGCATCTTTGGTGACGTCAGCTCAGCCCTGATTGGCCTGCGGAACCTGGTGATGCCGCTCCGTGCCAGCAACTTCCATTACCATGAGCTCAAGCACATTGTGTTCGTGGGTTCCATTGAGTACCTCAAGCGGGAATGGGAGACACTCCATAACTTCCCTAAAGTATCCATATTGCCTGTAAGTCCAAGGTCACATTACTGATGCTGTTGATGCTTCTTCTTCTTCTTTTCATTCATAAAAGAAAATCCCAGATGGATATAATCTTTGTAGCTTTGATCATGCCTTTGCTGCTTCATCTGGGTATGGGCCCGAGGATGCAGCCTTTCCCTCATGCATTGTCGAGGAAAACACAAACCCTGAGAGACCTTATTAAAAAGAGCTTGCAACCAAGTTCAGTCCTTTATCAGGCAAGAAGTCAAGCTGGTATCACATGTATTAACCATCTCAGTGTCTAAACAGTCTCTCCTCTTGCCTACATGAAACAGACAGCATTGTGCAATTGTGATGCTTACAGCATGAATTTGCTTATACAGCTATTTATGGCATTTTACTCATGGCATTGTTAATGCTTCGAGAACCCTCGGTCTGTGCCAGCTTCTGACTAAATAAATGTAAACAACAAGTCAGTTGTTCTTCTGTACAGAAGGCCAAATCCTTTTGTGGGTAACTCCCTACCCACCATTTTTTTTAGAAGTGCACTGTTTTCAATGCTTTTTGTGTGGCATGTGTGTGCATGTGCAAGTATGTACATGTGTATGTATGTGATGTTATTGACTATAAAATACAAGGATCCCAGTAGACAACAGTTTGGGACTCTATGCTTTCAGGTAAGGATATGGGTTACATGATTCGTGTATCTCACCACTTCTTAATAATTAGCCATGTATTACCCACAAATTTTTATAAAACTATAGAGCATTGTGCTTTTCAACATTAAATATAGTTGCCTGTGTAACAAATCCACTCAAATATTACTTATCCTCCAGATGCTTCCTTATAAATTCATATCCCTACAACAGGAACATGAATTTTTCTGCATGTCAAGAGATCTGGGTTTGCCTTTATTGAGGAAGCTAAAATTCATTATTTCTCTTATCAGCTTCCAGAGTCTCAGAAATGGAAAAAGAAAAAAGCTAAGTAATGTAATTGATTAAAGAAGATGTAAGATCTATCCACAAGTAATACCCATTAGTAGATTCCATTTGTCTTATATAATACCAGACATGATCAGTCCTCAATAAATATTTAAAGGTGTGAAAAAATATCAGACAGATTTTTTTTTTGGATGCAGAGCCAAACTCCAGTTGCTTTAGTGAACATATGTAAAGATGGCCTTCTCCAGACAAACAAAAAGCCATCTACTTACAAGAGCATAAATACACACTGTGTATACTTTTCTAGTTTCAGAAATATGGTAGCTTTGATTGTAATATTTCTGCAATTATCTTGCCACATGCAAGACACCTGGTTCCTTGACCTCTAAAAGCATCATGAGTCTGTGTGTGTATGTGTGTGTGTGTGTGTGTGGTGTTGGGTATATGATATTTGCTATTTGTGTGTATATGTTGTGTGTGTATATTTGACTCTCTACAATCTCACTTACTTCTGTCAGTATGAATTGGCACTGGTATTTGTAGATCCTTTTCAAACTCACCAAAATATAACACACTCAAGCAGAAGAAATTTTGCACAGATTTTCACATGCCATCATTTAAATAGTACCCTACAGAAAGGCCTGGTCTATCTTCCCAAAGTCACTGTGTAGGTAGAGAAATGAAAGACAGCCAGACACATATGCATGTAGCCACAGATAAATGGATATATGGATGTAGGTACAGTTTGAGGTTGAGGAAGTGGTAGAGAAAACAGCTAGCAAGCCCTTGTCCTGCACAAGCATTAGGTTGCATATAACTAGGGCCTCAGTGCAGGCCAAGCAGAGGCAGAGGAGCTAGGGAGATGGTGATTGATTGGGAGCCCCGGAGTGGTGCTGCATAGCTTCCGGGTGCTCAGATGAGGACTGGCCTGATTAGCGCTGCTGTGACCCCTCCTGAGGACACAAAGCTTGCAGAGGCCATGGCCCTGTCCTTCTGTTTTACCAATGGTTGCACTTCCAGACTTTTTGTCATTATCTGCTAGATCTCAATTTTTTCCCTACTGTTTTATGTTGTTATGGGACTTAAAAAAGTCTGTTTACTGGCTTATTTATTTTTAATTACCCCAGTAATATACAAATATGTTCTTGTTATAAAATATTCAAACAATATAGAAGTATATAACGTCAAAAGCAAACTTTCCCCTCCATCCTCTCCCTCCTTTTCCTCTCCCCAGAGGTAATTACTGTTATTAGTTTAATGTGTGTTTTTTTCTGAGTTTTCTCTTTGAATTTACATATATTTATAAATGTATGATTCGATTTTGAGGGTTTTTTTTTTTTTACATAAATGAAGTTACACTGTTTTGAATTGTTCTCATACTTTTTTTCATTCACCACTCTTAAGAGATTTTTTTCCAAGTCAGTGACCACATGGAGCACCGGCTCCCTCTAGACCTGTTGCATACTCTTCTGCTGATTTCATATCCAGCCATGTCCTTAATCATTCTGACGTTTTTGGATTAGTAGATGATGTCATTGTTCTCTATTTTCCTGAAAATACGCGGTGCAATGATAAGAACCGAAGCTGACTCTTTTCTGTCTCTCCTGTGTGAGATGCACATTCATTCCACTGCCTTCTGTAGCCTCCAAATTGAGCAGAGCGTCTAGACCCACCTTACTCTGATTTCCCCTTGGCTGCATTGGAAATTCTAGTTGAAACTGCTGTCAATTGCCTGAGCGAGAAGTGACCTGCTATGAAATAAACAGGCACTGGAAACCCATCCCCTCGTTACATTCTGAAAACCAGAAGTTGCCATAGGACAGTTACTTAAATCAAGACAATTTCCAGGCAGGAAGACGATGTAGACCCTGGCATTATTCCTCTTGCACGTTTGTTAGTAATAGCTTGATTGAGTATTGAGAGCCAGCCTGAAATGCTGCCATCAGCACCAACTACCCTTTAGATTAGCACGCGGCCCCTATTCCCTGAAATGCAGTTAGGCCAGCTTAATGTCAAGGCATAAAAAAGGTACTAGTTAAATAATTTCCCAGAGCTCTGGCTCAATCTTTAATTTGTTTTTATTTTTTTCTTCTTCTCTCTCTCTCTTTGACTCTCTCTCTGTCTCTCTCTCCCTCCTTTTTTTTTCTCTATGCCAAAGGGTACGCCATTAAGTCGGGCTGATTTAAGGGCTGTCAACATCAACCTCTGTGACATGTGCGTTATCCTGTCAGCCAATCAGAATAATATTGATGATACTTCGCTGCAGGACAAGGAATGCATCTTGGCGTCACTCAACATCAAATCTATGCAGTTTGATGACAGCATCGGGGTCTTGCAGGCTAATTCCCAAGGTAAGGACAGCCTGTAATACTTCTCTGCTGTGCCTACGGGGGACAGGGGCTGGCAAGAGGGATATCCTTCACTCAGTAATTCAAAGAGGCTCACATCAGCCTGCCTGGCAGTGAAACCTGCGGTCGCCGTCATAGCTTTCAGAGGGGCATCTGCTGCCTCTTCTTCTTGCCATCCCAGTATGCAGGCTGCTGCCCTGATCGCGCTTTCTCTCTCTCTCTCTCTCTCTCTCTCTCTCTCTCTCACACACACACACACACACACACACACACACACACACTACATTGCCTTCCCTGACAATAAACACATGGTTAAATGGCCATCTCCTCAACTTCTCTGTGTGGTGACTTTAAGACCAGGGTCACCTGCTAAATGTCAGAGCACTCAAAAGATGCTGGCTGCACAATCCCTAATGTGTCTTGCTGTCTGCATTTTTGCCAGTGAACTGAGATGGGTGTGTTAAACTTTGCATTCTTAGGGCTGCTTCTAAGACTCTGCTGATCAGGGGATGGTGATCTCCAGGGAGAGGGGACTGTATGGGCACTGAAAGTCATTTAGAAAGAGGTGACATTGTCACCCCATACGTGTTCCTCAGAACACACAGCAGCCTTAAATGACATAGATCTGCCTTTTCTATGCCCTCTTCCTTGTCATTTGCTGTAGGACCCTGGGCAGGTGGCTACAAGCAAAGATGTCATCTAAGAGTCTCAGAGAGGCAGCACAGCAGAAATCCATAACAAATGCTCCTCTGAGTGCCATCTCTGTTTGTCATGAAGTACAGGATGATTGTCATATATGGCTACTGGACAGGTGCCCTGGGTGCCTGATGGCATCACAAGCCCATCATCCTAGGATGGAGAGTTGAGAAAGCATAGCCCATGAGAACTGCAAATGCTAGGATAGGAAGCACAACCTGATGGCTGGGTAGAGCTCTGTGTGTAGGGTTTTCAGGAAGATCAGCTCAGTGGCTACCATGCAGCCCAGACCTGTACCTGTGCCATTATCTTTTGTCAACTCAGCTTTGCCAGCTCCTTCCAGTGTCGCCTCAGTATTGCAGCAAAGCCAGAAGCAAATAGTTCCTAGAAAGCTCTTCCCTGTGCGCTCCCTTTCTTTAGTCAGTTCTGGGCAGAACCATCAGTAGGATAAGGGTAGGGGCTGGGCTTTGGAGACTGGAAGAGAAAGAGAGCTCTTGACTCTGTGGGTAGCTCTTGCCAGGCTCTGAGCAGATTTGAGCAGTCCCTGCTACCCTAAGCAGACCACTCTTGGGGGGCAGGCTTGCTTCCTGTGTGCCAGTAGCCTTGCTCCCAGATAGAGGGAAAGGAAGTGGGAATTCTCCTGAGGGTCTTGAGATCTACAGCAGCTTCCGGTCAAGGCAGGAAGCACCTTGTCTTTGGTGTTGCCTATGAGATAACTAATGTGACCTCTTCAACTTTGACTTCCTCAGTCTGTCTGATGGTTATAACAACCTCGAATTTTCCTCTTACATGAAAAAGGGTGACACCCATTCTTCTGACATAACCCTGACTGGAGCTGAATTTTGACTTCTCCACCCCACCATGCTCACTGCCATTGTCACATTTAGATCTCAACATCTGCTTGGCCGCTGTGCAAAAAAACAGTGTGTCAAAGCTCTGAGGGAGGCCCTGAGGTCTTACTGGCAGCACAGAGAGGAGGCAGAGCCTGCCCCAGCAGCATGGGTGAAAGAAGATGTGGGAAGACAGGAAGAGAAGAGGTAGGCTGGCAGTGGGCCCCTGACTGTAAGCCCCGTTCAGCAATTCATCATCCTTCAATACTAGCATTACCTGGGAGAGCTGGCTGGAGATGCATAATCTCTTAGCCCACCCCAGCTGTACCTGTCAGAATTTGCATTCCAGCAAGATTCCCAGTGGCTTGGATGTGCTGCTATAAAGAACTTTAAGTCTTCATGCTAACAAATTCAGTGCAGTGAACTCACTGAATGACCTGATTAGACATGCCTCCTGTGCCTCAGACATGCCAGCCAAGGAATAGAGAGACACAGAAGCAGCATTTCTCCCCTTGGTGCAGATGGACAAGACAGGAAAGCACTTTCTTTCCCCAGCACTCCTGGTCCTCTCAGTTTAATTCTCATGAGTTTCAAGGTGTTGAGATGAGAATCTCAATATATAATTTAGACCCAACTCTCGTAAACTTACTCCACTCCTCAGATTCTATATAGTGGCCAAATTGCTACTAATACTTTCCCCTTTCCAATGCTCAAAGATTTTTTTAATGCTTTTTATCATAGGAACAATAAGAAAAAAATAGCTTTTGTGGACAATAGACAAGAAGGCGAATGGGAACTGATTTTTTTCTGTTAAGGAAACAAAGACCCTTTCCTTTATATATGCTTGTGTGCATACTACTGTATCTCCTCAAAAATTTCATTGTTGAAATCTTAACCCAACCCATGCAAATCTTAGGAGGAAGCCCCTTTGGGAGGTGAGTAGGGTGGAGTCTGTGTGAATGGGATTTGTGCCTTTAGAAAAGAGGACTGAGAGACTCAGCACACATCTGCCACATGAAGACAGGGCAGGAAGGCACCATTTATGAACCAGAAAGCAGCTCCTCCCAAGACACTAGATCTTCTTATTCCTTGTTCTTGGACTCCCTGGCTTCCTCAGCCATGAGAGCTAAATGTCTCTTGTGTATTGTCTGTAAGCCACAGTACTTATTATTGTGGCCTAAATAGACCAAGACATACACATTCAAAAGAAAGCAGGGCCTAGGTGTCTGTGTCCAGTAGCCATTCTCCTGGCCTCCTGCTTAGCAGAGCAGTGGAACTCATTCTTCCTAGGAGCCAGAACTCTGTTCTCTTTTTGAGGCAGAATGTGAAAGCCCATATTTCTCTTTATTTTCTTACCCTGTCTGCTCCTATCCTATCCTTGACTTTGGACAACATCCTCTGGTGACATTCTGACCTTCCACAGGTAGTAGTCCAGTGGTGCTATCAACACATCAAAGTGGCTCCTGCTGCAGTGCTCACTTTCGGCCATGGCCCTGCACTTAGTCCCTTTACTCCCCAACCCATGGGCCGGGTGGGGAGCTATTTCCCAGCCCATGTTCCTCTGGGATGCTTGTTTGAACAATTAGGATGCCCACTAACCTCAGATACTTTCTTCTTCATCTAAATATTAATCATGACCAAACTCTAAAAGGACTTGGATTACATGCAACAAAACAAACTTATGTTTCTCTTCATTTTGCAAAACAAACTGAAATCCCCATGAGTGATAATCACAGTTTTTTTTCCCATTGCCCCAACTTTCATTATCTATTCTGTTCTTTATGAAAGCCCAACCTCAGCTTTGTCCTAAAGCTATGTTATCATCTCTCCAGAACCCAGTTGGAAAGAAATGTGGATTTAGGATAAATGGGCTCTGGGGTCAGAATATTCATGTAGTCTCATGGAAAATTTTCCTAAATTGATACAGTAGAATATGGAAAATGTGTCTCAACATTGAGAAAACAGAGTGTCTACTGGAATTTGTGTCTAGGCACTTGCAACTCTTGTGTTATTAGACCTCCTCTCTGCTCCTTGCCTCTCTTTTCTGGTTCCCTTTTGGTGTCACTTTTCTAGCCCACATGGTGTCAGAACTGACCCAGCCTAGGGATTCTAGACCAGGCGCGCTCTGAAAAGATAGGAGATGTGAAGTCTGGTTGTCAAAAACAATTACAGGAAAAGGTAGCATACCCCACGCTGGATGGTATATCCAATGTGACATTTGGGTCTATGAGATGCAGTTTTAATATAGAGCAGGCAAAACTGCAGTGACAATTATATAAAGCAGGTGAAGTGGCTTCTTGCTGGTCAGCAAACATCAGCTCAGAACCACTTTACAGCTCTTTACCAGCAACTAAGTGCCTTTATTTACAGAGTGCCTGTCACTTCCCTTTGGCTGGAGAGCTGGTGTATTATTTAGCACGCATTTATCTGGGGAAAACATTTCAATTTAAATCAGCTGGTACAACAGTGACTCTTGCCAGATTGTTTCCCAGTGGTTCTAAAAAACAAGAACTGAGTCTGATCTTGGAGGAAAGGTGAGAAAAGGAAGGATCTATTCTCTGAGAACCCAGGGAGTCACTGCCTGCAAAGAGGGCGCACGTGATGGAGATATTCATTTTTCTTTTTTGCCAAAATGGAAAATGAGCACCTTATAGTTTATTTTTGCTTCTTTCCAATAAGGGTAACTCTTAAGGGAAAGGAAGAGGAATAAATGGGTATCCCTCCCAGGGATCAGTTTCTGTAAATGTTCAGGACACAAAGATGGCTTGGATTCAGCTTCCCACTGTCCTAGAGGATCTGAAGGGAGTGGAGGAGAGATTTCCATGTGCAATAACAGTGTAGTGAGACAAGGGCCAGGTTAGACAGAAAGCCCAGAGGGTCCTCATTTTACATATTTCAAGGCCTGCTGGAAGGTTCCAAGAATAGGTAATAGCTGTAGATTGCATTCATGTGGCTGTTTAGCACCTGAAATGTGACTAAAATGGCTAAGGAACTGAAGTTTTCCTTGCATTTAATAATAAAAAAGCTTAATTTTAAATAGTTACAGATGGTTAGTGCCTACCACAGGGGGAAGGTCAGACCTAGAATATAGATAGCCTTGATGCCTTGCTAATGGTTTGGATTTTGAGGACTCATCAAATATTTATAGAAAGAAAGTGATCAAATCAATCTTTGAAGGAGACAAAAGCAGAAAACCTGAGCATAATGAAGGGTGGGAGAAGATAGAGGCAGGGCTGCATAAGAAGTTGGGGCGGGATGGGGGTTGACCATGTAGTGCCGGTGATGTCAGTAGGGAAGACTGGACAGAAATCTAGGTGAATTTGATGTACGGAGAAGATAAGAATTGAAGGCCAGTTCAGTAGGAAGGAGGTATGGATGACCAGGGATAAGGAGCTGCAAATGGGTTTTGAGGTTGGATACTGGGTGGATATGGAAGCAGAGGATCCAGAAGAGGAAACAGGCATAAGGAAGAAAGTA